GTACAGACACCCAAACAGTAAATCATATGAAGCTTCATTAGGATCTATTCTTACAACTTGTTTAAAATGTAGACTGCTGGTTAATTTCCTTAAATTAAACTGTGGGTTGTTTCTAATCAATTATGAGAAATGTAATGATGCATAATTAATGAATGATACTGTTTATGTTTGAAACTAATGTATTTCCTATTGTCATTACCCTCAAGGACTTTTATAGGTGGCTGTTACTGGTAACACAAGTCATCACTGAAACTAGAAATTAGAATTTGATAATTAAATGTAATAAATACTTTCTCCTATTTTGAAAAGTATTATCAATGTCTTTTGAATGCTTTGAAGTATCGTTTAAAGTTGATTCTGTCGAAACAGAGTTAAAGGTTCATTGCAAAGCTTTAATCTAAGCAGCGAACTATCTTCGGAATCCTCTACCGTTTGAAGTTTCGTGAATGTACAAATTCCAAACCACTATACCAAAAAGCAAAGCATCATATCATGACTTCTTGACATCGGCAAAATCTGACAACGTGTATTCGCTGCGATGTGACCAGCAGGTTCACTGCGAAGCGGGAGACGCATTTACTGTATGCAAAGTGGTCGTTACCATTTTTTTTTCATGCCACCCCAATGGGGACTCCTATAACTTGGACTGTTTCACGAGGAGAGAGCCATGTGTGATGCGAAGCCCAGAGATTCATAGAGCAGGCGCACACGGTCTTGCTAGAGACTGCACTACATAGGGTACAAGAACCCATTAAGGCTGAAAATTACCATTCCCAGTTACAGCATCAGACCTCAAGACCTGAAACAATCACCGGCCATAATGGTACGTGTCACTTTTATTGCCCATCATTATCCGTAGGGTGCCGGTATTCCTTGACGTTGTATTGAGATTTAATTTTCCCAAAAGTGGGTGCTCTTGGGATTCTGCTAACACGCTGTGTGGAATCAACTTTTCGGCGTGTACCATATATTTTATGCTCCCTTTTAAAAATTAAACTAAATTTGATCAACATCTTCTGGTGCTAATTGGCATAGGTACCTATATAGGCAAGTATATCTGTATTCTGCATTCCAAAAACTTAGATTTAATCCCTTGTTTTAAGATACCCACAAAATTGCACTAATGCTTGCTGTTAAATTGAAAATCATCATCAAACAATTCAAGGATTGTGGGCAACATGACTTCGGAGTACGAGCTACGAGGCGTGGCCAACTATTTGGTAAATAATCAGCAAATATCCACTATCTGTAAATGTTACGTAACATTTGATTAACTTTGAACAATTTAAGTGGATTACGCTCTAATACAATACTTGGTGGAGTTACTTTCTGCTTTATCATTTTAAATGTTACAGCACTGTGTTCTACTGGGTCACATTACGTCATATTTCGAAGAGAGATAGTAAGAACTGCCGATGCTAGAGTAAGAGAAAACACAGTGTGGAGCTGGAGGAACACAGCAGGCCAGGCAGCATTAGAGGAGCAGGAAAGTTCACGTTTCGGGTCGGGACCCTTCTCACAGAAACGTCTGCTCCTCTGATGTTGCCTGGCCTGCTGTGTTGTCTCATATTTCGAAGACAAACGGATTCTGTTATTACATGAAAAAAATAAACTGGTAAACACATTTTAATTTGAGTATCGTCTTGAATTTAACCCCTTCACTTGCGTGACTAGATACACGATTGAAACTGCTGCGACATCTTTCAATTTCCAGATCATTCTACATAAATTGTAAGATCCGTTCTGTCGGACAGTTCAAGCTGTCTGTTGCATGCTCGTCTCCCAGTGATGTATGGAGCTGGTATTTCTAGGAGGAAATACCACGCTGACTAGAGGCGCTTAGCTGGTACCACCATTCCGCGGGTGCTTGCCTTGGACGCCCACGTACGTTTTCCTACAACTATGTATTCACTTAAGAAGTGTTCATATCTAAATGTTTTCCAGTGCTGATGAAAGGTCATCATCCTGAAACGTTAAGCCTGTTTCTGTGTACTGGCTCACTGCCTGATCTGGTGTGTGTCCTGTTTGTATTTCAGATTCCAGCATCTTGCTGTTATGAACTTCTCCAGCTGAGATTTTTGCTCTTGGCGTTTCAATTCTTGTTTCGACTCCATAATCAATAAACAACTCCCAAAATTTACATGGGGCAGATAACCCACAGATCTTTCTTGATTTGAACCCCTTGGTAAGGCCATTGCAGTGTGTACTGGGGCAGTACCTTGCAACTGTGGGCGCACATCAAATGCAGTTTGAAACCTATTAGCAGTGGATCAAAGGTCCAGCTGTGATGCAAGGTAAAACCTCCCCGGGTGTAGCGTGTAGAGAACTGGAGAGAAACCAAATGAATAGCACAGAAAAGTCAGCTGCCATCTTTATTACTGGACATATAAAACTTGACACTCCAGCATTCAAAACTTATTTGAAGACAACACGTGCAAAATCTTCAGAAGGCTGCATTTACACAAGACTGAGGCGAAAACTAAAAAGTGCAAAGAAACTGGTAGGAACAGTGTTCGATGCTTTTGAGAGCACCCAACTCATAAATCCACGTCCACCCCTTCCCCCAACCTCCCCCCCCCCACCTCCTCCACTTACCATTGATTCAATTTAAAAACGAATTTCACATGCTTTTCATGATCTGACCATTACTGAATTGCCCCCGTTATAGAGGACTTTTAAAAAAATCCCCTTTTATCTCTTTTCAAACCTGCGACTTCTCCCAACAAGAAGGACAAGTGCAGCAAATGCAGGAGAACACAACCTGCAAGTACCCCTCAAAATCACACACCACCCTGACTTGGAAATATTATGTTCCTTGGCTGTTGCTGCGTCAAAAATCCTGGAACTTCCTCCCCAGCAATACTGGGTGTCCCTACTCCTCAAAGATTGCTGCGGTTCAAAAAAACCAGCTCGCCACCCTGTTCTCCAGGGGAATCAGGCAGTGAACAATAAATGCTGGACTAACTGGTGAAGCCCTACAGCCTATGAACGAATGAAAAACAATGAGGTAAAAATCCCGTCTATCTTTATATTTTAGTCTTGTCACTTGATAGTGAAACATACTTGGAAAGGCTGTGCAAAAACTGTAACGTCGAAACTTTGTTTTTCCTGCAATGCATTGCATTTGTTTTTATTCAATTCATTTATTGAATTTCCACAGATCGAGTTTCACTTTTTGAATGCTTCTGACATCTCTAAATACAAATAACTGTACATGAAATCATAGAGCTTTTTCTTATAAATTCCGTTAAAGGTTTAATACACATTGTGTATTAAAAACATCTGAAAATAATAACCATCACTTAGTTGCTAAATTGGGCAGTGATGAACAGAATGGTAATTCCTATACTTCTGTGCTCTTTTAACTGTACTGTCTTCTACTGAATGCATTGAAAGCCCAGACAACACTTAACCAATATGTTGATTTTTTTTAAGTTAGGAATTGCTATGTATCAATTTGTCATTGTTTAATAATAAACATAACTCTGCAATAGCTTAACTAATTTTGAAACAGATTCAGTGCCTTGCTGATTCGGACTGTAGATGACAGCTAAAAAGGCACAGAGGATATAATCGCGTATTATCAGAAAAGGAATGTTAAGCCAAGATCACACACTCCGAAAATATGATGAGAATATTGTATATTACATATTCAAAATGGCAGGATTTCCTCCTTTATAATGAATAACTTTTAACCCAGCGCAAAAGAAAATCAATAACAGATCAAACATTTATTTGGAAATCTATGTTCAATAAATAAGCACAGACAATAAGTTAAAACATATCACAAATTGACCAATGTATAACCGGTATGGTTATTCTACACAAAAAACATCCTATATCACAGCTTTGATCATTTCGTTCACATGAAACTTCCGCCCAATAGTTAATTCTGACCAGTTCATGCAGGTGAAGGTGTGGAGTTTGTACTTTATGTTGGTTCTGGGCTTCGAAATACTCACGTGCACATGGCATGCTGGTGACCGTCCTCTCGGCATGCTGTGCAAGTGGCATTTTTGACAGAAGGATTTTCTCGTATTACATATATAAAAAAAAGAAAATCACGCAAGAAATGAGCTACGACCAAGGAGAACCAAGTCTCGCAAAGGCTTAAACATAGTGCATTGAGAAAAGAGTATTAGTCAGTACACCTTCTTGCACCGTCTCTTTGTGTTACCGTGGCCGCTGTAGTGCAAGACCGAAGTATGTTTGTGTATGGTCTCTAGATTGGATGGTGAATCAAAACCTATGCTGTGCTGTCAATTTGTTAAAAGTGCAGAGGCAACACTGCAAAGGCTAATCTCACATACCTATCTGTCATTGACTGTCCAGCCTCTTATGCAACCAAGGGAACTGAGTCTTGGTCAATTGAAATTTTCATAATTTAGACATCTTTTGGGGGGTCAGGGTATTCAGGGACATGGAATCCATGTGGGCAATTGGCGTTGAACTAGCGGTCAGCCAGGACCTGGTTGAATTAGAGGGCGGGCTGGCTGTGTACCTGCTCCTGTGAAGCAGGTGAAGAGTCAGCGGATCGGGAAAGGGTCTGGAGGCAATGACAGTGACGTTCACCAAAATGTCTAAGAGGCTGGGCCTGGTGGTGTATCCGAGTGATTACATACTAATTAAACATGTGCAGAATACAAACGTGCAGAAATTCAAAGCAAATGAGAGAGAGAGAAAAAAAATACAATTCCCCTAAAGTTGGTCAGAGCTCCTTCTTTGTGTGATTTAACATGTTATTGCAACAGGTCAACTCTAGCCATGTGGAAATATGATTGAGAAAGATGAGGCAGCTCAGAGTTCCAGATCACCGCCACTGACAGAGTTCTTGAAGTTGAGTCCATATGGTGTTCGCTTTGTCCCTGGTGCCTCGAGTGTGTTCTTTAAATATTAATAATTGTAACGAGTTTGACCAACCACCCTCCCTCTCCCTCCCACCTGCCATTTGAGTGTGGGTACTGAAGGATGCATTTCAAACCCTGAGTCGACTCCCTGGCTGTTTGGCTGCTGGACAGAAGGCTAGGAGGGGGGAGGGAAGGAGGGGGGAGAGCTGCTCAGGGAGGTGCATTAGGTGAAGCTCATAGACACTGTGTGCTCGAGTGCTTTGCGGCGCAGGGAGGCGATGCTTGTCCCCCGCCACACGTCGCTGTCTGGGGAGCTGCAGAGCTGCGGCGAGCCGCTCGTCACGTTGCCGGGGCCGGCGAGGGAAGCGGGCACCATGCCGGGGAAAGTGGGCTGGTACAGGTGGGACTGCAAGCCTCCGCCGTTGGCGCTGGCCAGGCTGTTGGAGAGCCCCATGGAATTGGGTGGCCCGCCGAGGCTGCACTGGGACAGGGACTGAGCCATGGCCTGTTGCCTGCCCAGGGCCGGGGGCAGCTGGAGCTGCGAGACGCCCACCCCCGCGGTGGCCCAGCGGGTGTCATTGGCGTGGAAGGAGCACAGACCGTCTCCCATGCTGGCGCCTGGGAACTGAGGCAGTCCTGGAGTCGGCAGCAGCGTGCCCGGCGCACGGAACACATTGGTGGTCTTCTTACGCTTCTTCCACTTGGCGCGGCGGTTCTGAAACCAAACCTGAGAGGAAGGAGAAAAGGAGGACACAGAGTCAATGAGAGACATTGCAAAATCTGAAGAACAATGTCAGACCAAGAGCCAAACGGGAGCGGTGTCCAGAAAGAGATGAGATGGCGGACAAAACTGAACTGGATCCACAGTGTGTGTGTGCGCGCCCACATGACAGAATATTCTCGGATCGTGGACTTCCAGAATGTCCCAGTTTGGTGGAGAACTGCTACTTCCTTTCCCAGATCATCTTCACATTGACTGACCGGACCTAAACCTCGTCACTGTTCCCCATGCACACGATTCGGGCAAACTATGGAATCAAACAGGAACTTAAACAAACCAGTTTCCCGAGTAAAGGAAATTCACCAGGTTTATGAGCTGGGAGGAGGGTTTGGGGGATGGGAGTGAGAGGGGAGGGGGGGTTGTCTCTTCTTTTGTAGCGGGGAGGGCGAAAGGTCAACTCCCTGAAAAAAAATCGTACAGGTTGGCCGATGACAAAGAGACCATTAGAAGCATCGGCTCAAGAACCGCAGGGAAATTTGAGAAAAAGATTTGTGGAAAAAGTCTTAAAGACACAATCAGAAAGGTGAACGCTTTAAAATAGAACAAATTGATTCCACCACATTCAAACTAAAAAAAAGTTGTCCTGAAAGCGAGCGGGGTAATGGCATCAGTTTATTTTTGAAAAACGTGTTTGCCCGTTTAGAACTTTCTGAAACAAAAACAGAAAAACAGAAATTGCTGGAGAAATTCATTCTGGCAGCATCTGTGGGAAGAAAACAAGAGTTAACATTTAGAGTCCGGTGACCCTTCATCAGAACTTTCTGAAGTTACTTTGTAACGAATTGATCTTCCACAGGTACACAGAGCTTCAGATCAACACAAATAGATCTACAATTAACACACGATGAAATACAATCACATCTTGCAATTTCCATTCGAGACAGGCAAGAAGTTTCACAGATGTTGAAAGATGTTGAACCTGTTCTGCAGTAAAATCGTGCGGGAAGGGGGTGAAATATAATGCCGTGAGAAAGGCTCAACTTTGCAATATCGAGGCACAAGGAATGAACTTGATATTGAAAATTATCACAACGAATGTAAGAAATCGAACTGAAACAAACGGTGTTTAAAAACAGATTCTTTTTAAAAAAGAGAGAAAGGGGTGTCTTACATCGCTACACGTAAACCGTTAGAAAATTCTGCGCATCCAATGAGGCGAGGCACGGTTTCTGGAATTGAAATACGAGCTCTCTATCTTGATTTAGAAAAGAAGAATTATTCGTCTAATAAAGAATGCGAGATGGGCCAGAAAATGAACCGTACAAAGTATGCGAGATTAATTCATGCTAATTTTGCAATCGCTCTCAGATAATTTAAAACCAGGAATATGAAAGAATTAGCACCGTTATTTATCAGGATAATGCAAATAGTACTGGGAGAAAGCTCGACACGTCTTGGCCAAGATCAAGTCCTGCAAAGGGGAAAGTAACTGTAGAATTAATCGATACATTAAATGATACTGACTGCAATCTGAGAAATAAGTAGCTATTTATATTACAATTAAATTTTTACAGTTGAGAGGGTTACTATGTGCAAAATACAAACTCCAGATACTGCAATCTGCCTGTTCAGAATTCTTTTTTTACGCTCACGTTATATAATTTTTCGTAGATGTTATTAAAAATAAAACACTGAATTGGCCCACTGACAGTTTTAACGGATGTGAAATGGTTTTTTCAGAAAATACAGTGTTTCGAATGTTAAATTTTCCAGAAACTGTTGAGTTTATGAAGATTTCATTGTAATATTTGTGATGATTAATGCGGAGATTTCGTGTGAAATCTAAAGCTCTCGATGTGCACACAGCACAGATTCATTCTGGCCAGTCAGCCGTGAAATCCCAACGAAATTCATTACACTTTAATAGTGTTAGAGAAAATGCAATTTCTCATTCCATTAGAAAACTAGAAAATACTTTCAACTTGTCGCCTATTAAGATGTGGCAGGTGACGGGGCATTGCATATCTACAATATAGAAAGACAGGTTACAGGGAGAATTAAAATACATAATTAGGACGAAAAGATGCGATCTCAAGGATCACTGTTCAGAGTTATTTCCCTGATATGGGTTTTATGTAAATAAAGTATTGGAAGCTAATTAATATATGCTGGAGACTAATGATGATGCTGATGATATTGTATTTTATTGCATGATTTGCATTATTTTCACATTGCCATTTAACAAACCATTTCAGAGGACAGATGATTCAGAAATGGCTTACCAATAATTGTTGGTGTGAAATATTTTAAGTAAATAAATGCATTTGATATTTGTGAGGCAGGCGTGTAAACTTATAATAAACACCTTTTGTTCTACATAGTGATTTCGAAATAGTGTGAGCTTAAACATTATCCGTGTGTGAGAGAAAGAGAAAGAGAGAGACTGGCTTATTCACACCTTTGTTCATCGGGCTCCTGTAAAGAGAAAAATGATTTATGTTCTAATGCGTTGTCTGTGGAAATTGAATAAACTTTAGATAATGTCTCCTTTGTGGGAAATGACAGGAACGCACTTGATGGCAAACGTTGAGGGAAAAACAACAATAACACGTTAGATTAAAACAAAGGAGATGACCTTTTTGTACAGTTTAGAAAATGGGTTAGTTAGCAACCCTCTCCAAAATCTCGCATTACATTCACAACACGGGACCAATTGTTTCACCTTAGAGGAAATTAATTTACAACTAATATTTTAATTTACAACTAAAATATCTGTAAATAACAGCGTTTAACATTAATTACGCCTCAACATTTCGTGAAAATTCGATTCCAATATGCAACCGAAAGATTATTCTCATTAAGTGAGTACATGTGATCATTATCGATGAAACGGTCTGACCAATGTCGGAAATGATATGTGATCATCATGTACCTGTTTGTTTAAGTGATCAGTCACCGGCGTTCCTCCACTTAACGTCAAAACTTAAATCTAAGTTCAAGACTAAAATCGCACACACAAGCTATTGAAAGGTAATTTCAAACTAAACACTGAGCTGCAAATAAGCAAATCTTCGTCATCCGGACTTTATTTAAGACAATAAAACATTTGCCTGATCTATGATCAAATCACACTATATAGTAGTACCCGTGCCCCATAATTGGTTAGTGGGGACTTTCAGCTTTGGAGGCGGGAGCCGTTTTATATCAAGTTTATTAGAAACGCTTGATATTTTAGCAGTAATCTACATGAGTTCCAACCATAAAATATTGTAGACTCAGTGCCGAGAAAAGCCCATGGATCTACTTATAGTGCGTTTACTGATAATATTCGTCAAATTTACACCAAATGTTACCAGCCCTGTTTAATTCTATTACGCTACACGATTAAATCCGAAATTTTGGGTTTGAGTTCAAAAAATAGGAGCAATCCAGTCTTAAAAATATTTTCTTTAATGTTACACGGGACTTGAGTCCGTTTTATTCCTTTTGTTGGTAATGTTGATCATTAGGTTTTTGACAGTGCTGCTTAGATGGCAATCTTTCCGTCTGGGCTGTATACTTGCAAAGATTTTGAATGAAAAGGTGCGAAATTTGTTAATATTTGGTGTGCAACCTGCTGTTGACTGAATGAGAGCCTCCAGAACTTTAAAGTCACGTTTATTCGCTTTGAATGTAAAAAGTAAATTTGAGGTATCTTCTGGATGCAAGCATCTAAAATGTAAATTCTTTACACTTTCCATTATCACCAGATTATAATCGCTATCATTTTAACTGATTGGCCAGCCACGGTAAATGGCCACTGTCAGCAGTAATTACAGATAGCCGCTTCGGGTGATTTACTGATTAAACCTTTCGTCAGAACCCCGAAATCTCACACAAGTCTCCGCTCTTCAAAAGAAAGAAGCTTTCTTCTGCTGTTGCCGTTCACAGAGCTGTCCGAGAGAATAGTTCTATGGGTTTGTACTACTTCAGGAGACGCGGGACATTGTGCACATTCGTAATTCTCAACAAGCCGAGAGCATATTGAGATGCTCTTTCAACTTAATGAAACCCAGTCATGAATTCGAACCCTGTATTTTTGTGTTGTAAAGCTACTGGGCAATAATTTAATCAGAAATTTCCATCAAGTATATTATTATATCGAATGGTAATTTTGAAATAAATCTTCACAAAGCTTACGTTTTGAGAACTTAAATTTCAACTTTATATGGTTCGATTTGGACTTGCTCTTGTGTTGAAATCAATCTTTACCTCCCAGCGTTTAATATTCTATTTCATTTGGGAATAACCATCAAAGTTTGAGAATTTAAATACCACGCCTGATAACGGTCTAGTAACTAAATATTTTATGACCGCTATGTAAAGACGAGCAACCAGAAATAGAAGTTTAGAACTGAGTTTTCCAATTCTAAGTTCATTCAAAATTATCCATTGTTTAAAACTAATTTTCTCTTTTTAAAAACTGTATATTTCTTGTGGTGCCAGGCGCTCTCTGAAGACGAATCTCTCGCTTCACACCTCATCATATACACTCTTCGAGAGTATATTCAATTCATCTGCTTCTGTTTCGACTTATTGAGGATGGCGTCTCCTGTAGAATATTTGGAAATTGAGTGTAAAATGGACTGAAATTTGAGGTTGTGTTTGCTTCAGACACCGAGTGCCTTTCAAACTGCTATCTTTCGGGAGCCCGCCTTCATTCCTGACTGGATGCTAATAACCCGAAACCTTGTCAAATTCTGCTGTCATCTGTTTCCACTGCTCCCTGGTCTCAAAATTACGGGAAGGGGTGCGATTGTACTCATTTTATCAACCGCTTTAGTTTGTTGCAGCACCACCGGAGCAGTTCTGTCCTTTTTTATTTTAACCTGGCAGCGGTTAAATTCTCCTGGCTAACATGCAACAGCCCTAAAGTTTTACCAAGTTTATCCACCCCCTCCCCAAGCAAGATTAAGGAAAGCTGAGAGGCGAGAGATTAATGTGTTCCCCTATCGAAGCCAAGGAATTACATACTGTCATCTTAAAAACTCTAGATTACACGAGAAAATGACATTCAAGGAACAGTGAGGTAGTGAAGTTAATTCCCCGCTTGATTACAGAATGGGACGACAGGATTCACTTCATTTGGAAGTCAGCTGAGAATTTGATTGTGATGCTGCAATCTCGTTAAAGGTAACCTTAAGGAAAGAAGGGTTTGCCCACTTCAAATAACATGTTTCCAATGGGGTTGTTCCCGCATTGTCCTCCTCCAGCCCATCCGGTTGTATTTTGGGGGGCATTTTCTTACCTGCACTCTGGACTCGGTGAGGCCGATGCGCAGAGCCAATTCCTCTCGCATGAAGATGTCCGGATAGTGGGTCTTGGCGAAGCTCCTCTCTAGTTCGTTGAGCTGAGCCGGTGTGAAGCGGGTCCGGTGCCTCTTTTGTTTCTGTTGGCTCTGTTGGCTCTGTTGTTGTTGTTGCTGCTGTTGTTTGTCCGGGTCTTTACCGCTGCCTGAGCCGCCGCCGCCTCCGCCTCCTCCGCCCGGGTTCGATCCGGCCGAGGTGATGCTGTCCCCGGGAAGGAGAGTCGCACCTTCCACCGTGTCTGAGCCGGGAGGGCAATCGCCCGGGTGACCGGGCTCGGAGCCCCCGGGTCCCATCCGGCACTTCACCGCCTCCCGGTGCCCAAGCAGTTCAGCCGCCGCCTCTTTCATCCCTGGGAGACAAAAATGGAACAAAACAAGTAGAAATCAGATCGGCATCCGCAATAAAAGAGAGAAACATAAAGTGAAGATAAAACAAAAAAAAACTTTCTACCAGTTGTTAATAAGTGATAGATTTTCCTAACTGAAAGAACGAGTACAATTCCATTAAATTGATTCTAAATCAAATTATTGCAGTAATTTGAAACTAAAATAATTACTTTTAGATAGAATTAACTCATTTTCGTTGCATTAAAGCGGAATAACGAAGAGCCCGTGAGTGGGAAGCGGCTAGCTAGCAGCCCCCGGTGGTTTCGTTCCTACAGAGAAGTCTCTACATATTTTTTGGGGGGATTTTGGAAGGCACTTTTACTCCAACACTCACCCAGGCGAGCGTCCAGGAGGTCGGCGTGAGAGAGCATGGCGCACCGCTCCAGGGTGATGAGAGTGCCCCTAAAAACCGGAGAGGTTTTTTTAAAAATACAAAAAAACTACAAATTTCTGTTTGTTGTAAAAGGGAGTCTCTTGCATTATAATCTCCTTTAGAAGGACGGGGTGGTGCTTAACACTTGAATGAGCCCATGAGCAGCTCCAAATCAGGGCCAATCAAAACTCACCGCTGCAAATGTCAGAGCAAAGTGAGACGCCATTACGCATGCCTCAAGGCAGCTCTTTTCACCACCACCACAACCATCCCCCCCACCCCCCACCACATCGTTCCCAACCAGTCAGAAAGCACTCGGAACATTTACAATTCTATTTCTGCTTTCTAAATCTGATTTATTAGCTTTCAACGTCAAATATTATGCCTTTAAATGACCTGTTCTAATTTGGATAATAGATACAAACCAAACATAATAAAGCCAATATTACAGGAATTATATTTATCCGACTATACCTTATCTGCTCACTTTCTTTTCCTGTGCCTTAATGTAATCTATTATGAACCAGAGTTAAATATTAAGGTTGCCACAATTATATAACATATCAGATCTACACATCTACTAAAAGGCTGGAATTGGTTCCCCCACCACATTAAATGGCTGGATCTTGCATATTTTCAGAACTAAATCGGGTGGAGGAATTCAGCATTGCCCATCCCTCACCAAACCCAAGCGTAATGCGATTTCCAAAATGCTCTGATTTTGTCCACTTGGTTTGCAACATTCGCCCGTGTCTGACTGAGCTGTAATAATGATGTACCACAAGGAAGCTGTCGGTTGTCACAGTATGTTTGCAATCAAACACTTCACAACTATTCGACTTTGGACATATTTCTGAAAACTTATGCACGAGGTACAAAATCAAACCTATTTATTGGGGAGGGGGAATCGGCATACTGTCAATACTATGGATTTTAACAACTTACTCACCGCTTGAGCGGTTTACAGAACTGTAAAAACACGTGAAGCCATCCGTTTCTAATCTTCTGAATTCCAAAATCAGCCAACAACAAAGTTTCTGTTAGCAATATATTTCAAACCAGAGTAATTTTCAAGATCATTAGGCATTTATCTAATTAGTGCCAAATCTATAAGCTTTTATTACGATTATTAAAATAAAATCAGTATAAATGTGTGCTAATTTGCTGCTGGTTTAGACTGGGCTGTCAACGGAAAGGATCTGCTGTTGTGAATGATATCAATGGAAATAGAGAACAGATTATAGAGCAGATGTAATGGGTGTAGGAACCAGTCCATCCAAATAGTATTACTACTAGAGAGATCGTATTTCCTAAGATCTTTAGTTTAACACGAGAAAACAATGTGTAAGATACGTAACACGGCACAATTGAGACTGATGTACTTCATTGATACAATTCATCTAGATTGTGATTGATTTTTTAAAACAAAATTGATGCAATTAAGGGAACTTATTAAGTGGTAATAAAAGTCCAAAACTGGCGTTATATAAAGTCGGTTAAAATCAGGTACAATAAGCTAATTGTGCAGCAAGTTGACTCTCACCATCTATTAGAAAGGCCTAAAAGCAGATGCGAGAGTGAGCATTGTAAATGCTCTATATAGAGTAAGGAGCAGACAAAGGAGGTGCCGAGGCGCAGTTGTGCATTTTTGTTCTTTTCTCTGCACCTTGCCTAGATTTATTTAATTCTGCTTTTAGACACGTCAGTCTTCAGAATGAATGTGAGTGTCGATAGAATCCTCGGCAGTGCGTTTTCATCCTGATCTCGGTCAGACACACAGGCTTCCAAACCGAGACTCCAGACTTGAGTTTGGTACCTGCTCCTTTAGTCCACACGGGATGGTCTCCGAACTCTCGGTGTGCATGTGTACACGTCAATAAAATTGGGAAACCAAGGTGAAGCGGAACCTGGGGAAAGACGAGCAAGCTACTGTTAGAAGAAAATAAACATTATCACTGCCAGACGGGAAAAAAAGACAGAAAAAAGAAACAAAATCACGGAATTCAATTGTCTGGAGCCGGCAGCTGCAGCCTCAGGAAGGGAGAGACTCAGGTGTTTGAACAGACAGAGTCTGGTTAAATGTATTATTATCATCGCATTGTTAAAACCTGGTTAATGGAACAGTGTGTCAGAAACGAGCGTTTTGCTTTCATTCTGTAAACGCGTTGCTGATTATTGCCCGTGCTTTTATTTTTCTATTTGCCTTTTTATGTCAAATTGAGACGGTATATGGGTATGAAAATGTATCGACTTAACGCTACAGTTAAGTATATTTTTTGTTTATAAAGAGATCATTGGTTTTATTATTCGTTGTTTACTGCGGGCTGGTACTGGCAGCCGAGCGATTGATACCCTGCTGCATTTATCACTTCTTACAGCACTGTGGCGTCTCATGTCGGAGCAGACAGAGCAACATTTGTGCAGGTTTGAATCCAAACTTGGGCTGGGGAGAAGTGGGGGGGGGGGGGGGGGGGGGGAGGGGGGGGGGGGTGGAGGGAGATGGGGAACTTTGAGCTCGTTGCGACGAAAAAGGAGAGCAAAAGGTAGCGGCAATTCACACAAAAAATAACAATGATAAATACTGGCTGGGGAGAAAGTTTAAAATGAAAACCAATCAGTTAACCCATCGTTTAAAAAAAACTCTGTACATATAGTTCTTCCTTCTGGATGGAAATAACCGAAACAAGTCCCCTCCAAAGAAATAAAATAGATTCGGAGCCAATGATCTGTTTGGTGTTATTCATTTTATACTGGATTCTGTTTCATTTGAGTTTATGAAAACTCGACAGCACATGAAATTACTTCCAAAAGCCTTGGGTGGATTTCATAGTTGCTGCAAGGTTCCTTGCGATGGCGGTGGGCAGAGGCAGTTACAATTATTGTCTCTAAATTTTAAAAAAAAATCACTTAGCAAATCAGTTGCAGGCAGAAATTGAGGCAGGGAGAATGGAAACAGAACTTACCGAGTGGGTACACTTTGGCGGAGACGGGTTCAGTGTAGATTGTTACCTGCTCATCCTCAAAGAATTGACGGCGTTCGGGTGTTTGTAATGGTCTGTGAAGCAACATCTTACCTAAGCGCTGGGGGGAAGCTCCAGTCTTGACAGAATCGAGTTTTTAAAAATAGAGCCGGGGATAAAGGGAGCTCGTTACAAAAGCGATCGGTATATTTTAAATAGGTTTCAGATTGTTACTCACACGGAAGGCAGCAGTGAAATAGCTGTCTGGATACATATTGGTTGCTCGTAATATAATTTATTTATTGAGTTTGTTTCCTATGGAACACAAAGATTCAATTTTATACAAACACAATGCGGTTAGGAACCAAACTAGAGACATGACAGGGTAGCGCAAAACATGAATTCTTGCAGCTTTTTATCGTTGAGATTTGAAATTTGACATTTGAAATCATTCCTTTTTGGGTGTTGTTATATTTCCATTTATTGGTGTCCCTATCCGATGACGGGATGTTGAAATTGTTACAAAAAGAATAGATGTGTTTACCAGTGTAAGCTACTGCCGCTATTCTGAGTGTAGTATCCTCAAAAGTGGATAGTCGAAGAATCTACAAGTTCAACCTTTCATCAATTGCAACCAGCTAAATTTCGAATGGCGTAAATTCTGCAAAGGGACACGAGACAATTGATTGTAAATATTAAACTTTCGAGTAAACACATGCACTCACAGCAAACCTCCCAACACTTTGTGAAGAACTGATTTCGAAACGTTATTGGCTAAATGTAATATTTTTAGAAGTGTGATGAAGAAAACGACTTCAGTGAAAATAAGTTGACCGTCGTATGTCCGTGTGGAAATATATTTCCTGACTGTATCAATGTATTAGCTGGGTTTTACTGATAAATGGCTAAGCAAATAATTCGCACTAATAAAAGGATTATAAACTGTTGTTCGAGTTCCAGAAATCGCCCATGTCTCCAGTCAGATGTTCAGCTATTTCTTCATCTGCTTTGCTTAGGCTAGGCGCTCTTGTTTGATTCCATGTTTGTTTTTTTTTGTTATATATATATAAATTGCTTATTTCGACCCCTGGCGTTTGAAATGAAGAGTCCACTGCAATAATTAACGATCGCACATTTTCTTATTTTCTTGCCTGATGAGAAGAATCAATTTTAATTCGCCGGCAAATTAGAGCAATACCTTTCTGTGTCATTCAGTTACATAAAACAAGTCAGTGATTGGGGTGGGGGAACTTCTATTTAGTTTATGCAAAACCAGGTAAGTAAACACCCGCAGATAAGAAACCTTAAAACGATCATAATTTTAATCCTTGAAAAATATGGATATATATAAAACTTTAATTAGTCTAAAACTTAAAAAGCGCCCGCAGCGTCCCTCCTCCCTCCATTTGTTTCTTAACAAGATACTGATAATAAGAACACATCAATCTTTTCCCCAAATAAATAAAAATAGACAAACAAACAAATTCGCCTCGAACAAGTTAATGCGGTGTATCTGAGTGGAAAGTAGATATTTTCACGCATTCTGGAGATGAGGATAGACTTTTAATAATATCACAAGAAAACAAATGTAATTCCAGCAATTCTCAGCTCGGTTAGTTAATATTCTAACATCGTGCCCAGCTCTGCTTTTTAAAAGCCAGTTAGTTCCAAAATATGACTGTCACTCAATCAGGGACCTTTCGATCCGCGTTCGTTTATTATTTGGCTATTCCAGAGGTAATATGGCTTATTTTACAAGGATGATTTTTGTTGACTTTTTTCCAACTGAGCTAATTCGGGCGTCTATATTCACTCAATTAGAGAATTCTAAAGAGAAAATCGATCTTCCATCTACAGAAATGCCAGGTTAACAAATTAGATTCTTGTTTCGTGCAGGTGATTTTGTGAGAGCGCAGACAGTTCATGAATTAGAAGTAATAAGTTGTTTGTGAGGATGTTTTTTTCTCTCTCTCTCTCTCTCTTTGCCGAGGCCGGGAAGATAGAGCGGGGCGAGGGGCGCGCTGCTCTGCCGGATCAGGCAGTTTGAACCTCCGCCCCGCCCCGCATCCCACCGTCGCTAAATCTTCTCAGCATCCTTCAATTAAGGGGCGCCCTGCCCCCGAACGTGTGCTGTATTAAATCGTGATTCAGCCAAAAGAAATATAATTATGGCTCCAAATAAAATAATCAGCATTGAAGAGCGATTTCGTTAATGAGATGGAGCGGCTGCATGTCACGGAGTATGGGGGTCTCATTAAACGCTGGTAATGAGGATGGATTTGTGGATCAGGCAGAACAGGAGGCTTTTTAAAAAAAGAAACCAGTTTTTTTAATATAAAAATATCCAATGTTCAGCAAGGGAGTCGGACAATAAAAAACCAAAAGACATCCCAACTTCAGAAACACTACACTCGTTGTGATGTTACAGAATGCTAAAGGAGATTCAAACCAAATACTTTTTAGATTTTTCCAAACTGGAAATTTACTAGTCGGCGTCTCCAGGATGAACTTGGTGTCATTCACTACTAGACTGTGTGTGAGATAGAGGGTCTTGGAAAACTCTTGTTATGAGCAACCTGTGCAATCTTTGGCACTGCTTCAATTGAATTTTGATGGTCTGAATATGTTGCCATCAGGGTTTGCTCTGTTATCGATTTCGCTCGGACTGTCTAATTTGCTTGAAGTTTGTCCAATTGACCCACTTCCTGGCTCTGGCTCAAGAATTTGGTTTTGGTTTTATTTGTGTCCACACTCTGGTGGAGGTCGAATGCGCTTTATAATTTTGCAGGCCTGTTGTGCATTTCTCCTTGGTCAGAATTAGCAAGTGGTACCAAAGTCTGTACCCAAGCCTCCCATTTAATCCAATAGCTGTGCATTCCATTGCGAGGCACAGATACGGATTCCCTCGTCAAATTGCATTTACCCCGCATATTAAATACGGTGAAGCGTCCCAAGGTCTTTCACGGGAACATTATCAAATACAACTTGACAGAAAGCAACGTAAGAATATATTAGTACAGGTGACCAAAAAGATTAGATTATAAATAGAGAATTACAGGGGAAATGGAGAAACAGAGGTTTGTCACGCTCAAAATGGGCACAGGAGTGAGACTGTGAGGTATTTGAAACTAATGGTGCAAACTTTAAAACCCAGGCATTGCGGGACTGGGAGTCATCAGAACACAGGGAGCACATCACGTGGCCTCAGGCCATTGTTTCCACAATTTATTGAAAATTTAATTTATGGAATTGTCCCTGGAATCTGCATCGCCGTCAATTATACCGATGTCATATAAATTCGATTCGCAAGAAGTATTTTTGTACTTGAAACATCGAAATCTGGGTCAAATGTGGGTGTAAAAAGGCGAGATAGAGGCGCTAAGGATTTCAAACAGTTGATTTAACATGCCGATAAAAACGCAGGACAGCTCCAAAGTTGTATCTTTTCATACCTAGCCCTATAAAAGACTGGAACATACACAATACAGTTGTAAGAAACTCAATTTGTTTAATCAGTCCACATCATTATGATAGCTTGAAAGGTTCTCAATTTCAGTGCAGTGAAGATACTAATCGGTAAATTAGGGCAGCACAGAACTAGGACCAAATATATTATTCCAGTAAGATTGGAGTTATAATATTCTGAAACTGCAGAAACTGAAACTATGAAACTGCACCAGAGTACCATGGAAGGAGTTTCTTTTCTTCATAGCTCGCTGTCTTGTGTAGTGGTTAGTCTGCACTACACGTTTATTTGGCTAAAATGTAATTGTTTTT